CTTAATAGTAAAATTTACTTATAAAATTTGCAGATCCTCTCCAGATGATAGATGAATTGTCTATTAAGGATTTTTTTTATTCTTAAATTTCGAATGTAATTAATTTAATATGTATTATTTTAAAGTCATTAATAAAATAATTTATTTATTATAGCTGAATTTAGTATGCGATGGTTTTTTACATGTGCATTGCCTGAACATACTTTAAAAGGTTATTTTCACCATATTTGTGAAATTACTAATATTACCATTGGCAATAGAATTATTTCAAATCATTCAGGTCGAAAGACTGCAGTCCAGGTATTGAAAGGATTGGAGTATTCTGATTCTATCGTTATGTCTATCACATGCCATAAAACCCAACAAGGCTTAGTGTCATATGAACGACCCAAGTCTGTAATGCAACTACAAGGACTAAATGAGTTTTTTAATGCTTTGACATTTATTGCAAATTCTTCACCATCTGAACCACAAGATCAAGATAGTGAAATATCCGATCAAGCTGAAAAACTATAGAAGCATTTGGAGATTTTACTTTGGCAAGCAACTATTCATCATTTAATACAATTGAAGAATTTTCAGCAAATGACTTACCCAAATCTCCTCCAAATGCACTAACTGAATCTCCACAAAATACACTAACTGAATCTCCACAAATTGCACTAAGTGAACTCAATCAGAATGTGCAAAAAGAAAGCCAAATGAATTTGAAAAGCCAAACTCAAAACCTAAAGCAAACTAAAAATCAAATTTCTGAAGAGATTGGGGCCAAAACTGAGAAAAAATAAGGAAGTATTAGAAAAATTTCTCACCGGGAATGTTTTTCATAATTGCACTTTCAATTTCGGGTCACTATGAATAAAAATAATTGCTCGCATTAAATTGTTAAAAAAAAAAATTGCAATAAATTATATACTTAGCTTAATTTGCAAATAATGTTACATTTATCAAATCTTAAAATTGAATATTTGTATAATTGTTAATAAATTGCATTTGTTAATAAGTTGAATATTTCTGCATTTGTCGAATATTGGCTTGTGTAATGTATTGTGTATAAAAATATCAAGGCAAAACAAGCCATGATCATAAGAGTTTGCATGATAATAAAGTTTAACATTTAATATTAATCAAGATTTTATATTTGAATATCTAATTCGAACTAACGATATACTTAATTTACTATGTTCTTGGCATAATTGCATATCTCAATTACTAGCAAATTACATTTATAAAACTGTGTGAAACATTCATAAAATAATTCATCAATAGAATTATCATTTTTTAGTTAGTTTATATAAAATATTTTGTCCGAAGCCTAATGTGGGACTCTTCTGTTTGAACATTTTGTCTCTCATCGAGGCGGTTTTTCCAAGAACATAAAATATAATTAGGTGTATTCGGTCCCTGCTTCTTTAATGCAAATATTAAACTCTAATGCAGATCCTGATAGTATCAATAAAATGTGTTAATTCAACTATTCTAGTTGTACACTAATTTTTTTATCTTGGTTGTAAACTAATTTCCTTATCTTAAATGTCATCTCAACAGACCATTTTGACACCTTTTGTTATTTGTATTAAAAATCTAAATAAAAGTATAAAACCAAAGTTTTTTTTGCACCAATATTTTGTAATGTATTGCCAACATTATATTTTTGAATTTATCACCTTACCCTAAACATCTAAAATGCTAATTGCGATATATATATAATATGTAATTAAATGGGTGATGCTGTCATATAGGTTAATATACAGAAAAATGGAGTTTAAAGACATTTTAACAACACCGAGTTTTTCTAGATCATATTTCTAAATATGCGATTTATTCATTCACAATAAATTTGTTTATGCAGTTTTATATGCAGTATTTTTTTTATCTCTATTTTATGTTTAAAAATTTTCTTGTCTCGAAGCCTTTCTTATTATGTATTGACTAGGGTTCTGCATGCCCGGCATATATCTGTGCTAACAAAAAATTTAAGGCACAAGCATGGGCATAGATAGTGTCTACCAAAAAATGCCAAGCACTTTCTTAAATACTGGCACTAAAGCCTAGCATAATGCCAAGATGCTTGTATAATAGTTTATCATAATTAAAATATTTAATTAATAGAATAATTATATTAAATTTGCCAGACAAAGGCACAGGTATCTAGCGATTGCCTAAAAAATACCTCTTGCTTTTGGCACAACACCAATATGCCTGGCACTGCATTTGCAGGCTCCTAGCATTGATCCATATCTGAAATAGTCTTCTTTCTGAAACAGCACTTCAGATATTTGTCTTTTGTTGCAAGATCAGATTTGAAATTGAACTTCAGATAAAAAAAACAGTTTTACTAAATCATACTAGTAGTGCTAACACATCGATTTTGAACAATAAAATTTATGATCTGCAGTGTAATGTTAAGATCAGGTGTAACATAAAATCAAAACAATCTTGGTTGTTTTTTTAAAAAACTAAAATTTTGCTTATGAAACCATCTTTTGTGTTCTAATAAAAAAATTTCTTGCACAATTTTGGTATATACTAACCTTTATTTACAATTTTAGCTATAACTATAACCCTAATATAAGCTAAATTTTAAATTGTTTCTTTTATTTGTTTTGATAATTATCATATTACACAGTATACATATATAACTGGTGTTAGCATCACAGGTGTGTTTTAATATAACTGAAAAAAGTCTAGAATCACTAGTTTAGATATTTATAGTTATGGCTTAATTGCAATTTTGGTTAGTTGAAGTTATATTTTAAATATTTAAAATTATAATTTATTTAAAATAACAATTTTAAATATCTAAAATTATAATTTTAAATATCAATTTGCAACTATAAATATCTAGAATTGCATCTTCAAATATTTAAAAAGTCAAATAAGTAATAGATATTTAATGTGTTGTTTTGAATATCATGCAAAATTACAGGTAATCATTTATTATGTATTATCATGACACAGCTATGATGATGTATAATAAATGATTACCTGTAATTTTGCATAATATTTATGACAACCCATTAAATATCTGTTTTATCTCCTGGATTCTAATATTCTGTAATTATTTTACTGATCTTTCACTTCTTCAATTCTTTTATCCAAAAAAAATACCAAACCAAAAGCAAAAAAAAAAATTCAAAACAAACCAGCTTCTGTTTTTACTAGTGCATGCACTTATGTTACAGAAAATATTTCTGATGATAGTGCTACTACAAGCATACCAAATCTGATTTGAAACAAAAACTAGATTTTTACTAGAAAAAAGCTGCAGTACCAAATATGGTAAAAGCTACACGAAACTGGATAAAGAAGTTTAATAAATTTTGTCAACATTATAATTATATAACACCAATTAAAAGTATTGAAGATTCTTCTTTAATTGAACAACAATTATGTAAATTTATTGCACAAATGACAAAAAAAGATGGAGGTAAATACAAAGCTAAGACTATTAAGCAAGCTATTGATAGAATAAATAGATATATTAGCAAAAACAGAGCAATTTGTGACCTTAATTTACATGATAAATATCAATTTCCAGATTTGTATAATATTTTGAATAGCAAAATGAAAGATTTGCAAGAAAAAGAATTAGGAAAAAAGAAGGATCAGTTGCTTTAACAGCTCAACAAGTAAGAGAAATTCTTAGTAATGAATTTTTAAATTCTAAAACACCACAGGGTTTATTGTATAGAGTTTTTTTTGTATTACAACAATTTTGCATATCAAGGTAATAAACATTATTCACTTCAAATTAATCAATTCCAAGTTCAGCCTGATAAAAGTATTCTATTTTATTAATATCATAGCAAAAACAATCAACAAGGAATTGAAGAAGAAAATGCACAATGTATTCAATTACTAGCTGATCAATCTGATACTTTGGAACCTGTTAGTAATCTTACCAAATCTATTTCTAAACACCCATCAAATGCATCTAATAATTTTTATTTGTAGCCAAATCAAAATTGGCGTGAAACTAGTATTTGGTATCTTAAAACACACTGTGATTTAAATAGGGTAAAAAATTTTATGAAAGATATTGGGCAAAAAGTAAAAGTAAAACTTCCTGATAATGCTTTAACGAACCATTCTGGAAGAAAAACTATAACCCAGATACTTCAGAATGTTAATATACCAGAAGATCCTATTATGAATATCACAGAGCATAAAAGTTCTCAAGGTGTACATATATATAAAACTATAAATGGAAGTCAAAAACTTGATACAATGAAAACTTTAATTAATACTATCGAACCAGCATCAAATATATGCCTGATGAATCAAGAATCTCCTTCAGTACTTAATGAAATTATTAGATCTCATGTTAATATCAATATAACTACTACACAAGATATTAATATAGTTCAAGGTATTCAAGATAGTGAATTTCAAACACAATATTCTAATTTTAATAACTGTCAATTTACTAATTTTACATTTTATTTGTTACAATAATTTTTTTTACAAGAAATTTCTTTGTGTAGTAATTTAAAACTAGCTATAGAAATCTGTAAATGATTAAAACTAATAATTCTCTATGTTTTATTAGTAATTAAATAAATATTTGCACTATCACTACAATTTAAACTGTTTTAATTATTTAGTTTATTAATCTATTTAATATAAATTATAATATTAATTGTTTATTACATAATCTATTCTTCACGCAATATAATTTTTAATGTAAAAAATTAAGATGATCATAACTATAAAAAATAAGACACTTACCCGATCCAAGAGATGTTAGGCCATGAAATATTTTTTGATATTTTCACAGATGATTAGCCATGTGAAAATATCAGTGCGGAGTATCATGGGCAACCATTAGGAGACATGGGATAAATAATGTTGTACTTCAAAATCTAAAGCAGTATTCAAAGTTGCAACTTCAAATATCTAAAATGCAACTTCATATATTTAAAAAAACTCAAAATATTTAAAGTTACTATTTTAGATATTTGTGGTTGTGACTTATTTAAATAAAAATATTATTTTATATTATCAGCAAATTTGTCACCATATATAGTTTTAGAGTTAGAGTATAGTTTTAAATTAAAAAGTAGCTAGATATAATAGTTCAAATTTTATATTTTACAAAATATGAAAATTTTAACTATAATATCAAATTACTACCTATCTTTCTAATAAACTTAAAAAGTTACTTCCAAATTTTTACTAATTTTTACTATTAACTTGCTACAAGAAAGAACAAAGGTTTCAATTAAAGTATCACTATATCATATCTATCATGTACAAGTAATATATGTACTATTTTTCCAAAGGATACATATATAATAATATATAGTATGCAGGTATATATATTAGGGAAATAAGTAAGAGTGTCGGGAAGTAGAACTGTCGAAATAAATTTAATATATTATATTTTTAAAGTTTCGGATTATAGTTTGAGGTTTCGGATTATAGTTTCGGGTTTCGGGGTTTCGGTTTTTTTAAAAAAATCCGAAACTAGTTTCGATTAGAGCTAGTTTCGGGTAGGTTTCGTTTCGATTAACAGCTCTAGTCTATATTAGCTATATCGTTTTTATTTTATTTGGTTTTAGCTACGATATATACTAAAATCAGTTTTGTCATGTAGTAAGACCCAAATATAATGTCGATAGAACGTTATATCGACATCACTATGTGTACTATGAAAAATCTAAGCATTTAAAATTCGAATTTTTTGAAGTTAATCTCATTTTAAATAACAAGAACGCTGATTAATCTGATTGTTTGAATGAGCCATCAAAATCGTTTATATTTCATACTTTGAATTTGTAGTTATAAAAATGTTTATTAATCTAGCCGTTTAAAGAGGTTATTCAAATTCATGTTTATATTTAGTGAGAGCATAAAGGATATCACTTAATAAATATTTAAATTAATACGTAATAATTTTTAAATTTTCATATCAAAATAAGGAAAATTCTCAGCAATGGCTGAACTTACTTTAGCCGCAATATATATTAAAAAAAATTGGTTATAATTTATTATATATTATAAGTTAATTCTTTTTCTGTTTTAAAAATTTTTAAGATGTAATAAAAAATTATTTTGTCAAATAATAAATCCCGAAATTAATAACTTGTTACTAGTTTTATATTTTTTACGCTTATCAAAAGTTCGTATAATCTTTTTTTTTAATTCTTATAAATATAAAGATAAAATGAATCGATTACGAACAAAAAGAATATGTATTCACAAAGTTTAAAAGCATAGCGATAATAATGCTATAACATGTCACCGTTTTGCTGTTAGATTACAACGTTTCACAACATTTTAAATTGGTTATATATATCGGAGGCAAATCCGATTTTTTTTACTGTTGTACTAAATTCAATTTCTTTTCAAAATGATAGTGTTACCGAGCGAATGCCTTTTTGAAATATTTAATAATTTACGAACTAATAATCGAACTGATTATAAAAGCTTATTTTCATGTCTTCTTGTAAA